ACCCACAGACATTCTCATCTTCATAACATCAGAGAAAACAGCTCATCAAATCAATGGCAATGCTTTACCCCAACTGATACAATCAACAACACATTAAGATCAAGCACAACTTGGACACTGACCACCTGTGGTAGTCACTAGTCTATCGCCCTTAAATCATTTGAATTAAATTGAAATCAAGAAGCAGTCCAGAACATGTCTGCAGTGAACAAACTTTTCAATATAGTGTATTTACCATTTAATGGCTCAGACAGAGCGAGGATGCAAGACCCCTGATCTCAGTTAGCTGATTGTTGAACCCCATGACGCTGACTGACCTCAGGCTGCAAGGCCCAGATTGAGTTCCCCATCCTTCTGAATGGCTGAACTCCACAACGTTCTATTACAGGTTTCCCACGCCCTTTCTTTAAAGATGTTCAAAGTTGGGAACTCAGAAAAATACCCTTGATGACCACCTCTGTCTTTGCAGAGTGGGTCCAAAGATTTGCACAGTCAGGACGTCTGAGAGTGTGGTGGGGGAGGGGGTATCAGGGTTCAGGGGCGCCTGCGCGGCTACCTTCCCAATGCTTGAGCAATGGCTGCTGGGTCGGGAGCAGGCGTGGTTCTGCTTCCCGTGGTGGATCAGGGCCAGCCTACCTTCCCGGCGCTTGAGCGATGGCTCCTGGGTTGGGAGCAGGCGTGGTTCTCCTTCTACTTTTTTTTTAATAAATTGCCTTTTATTTATCAATTGAAAAGTATACAAATATTTGAGAAAACATAACAAAATTAAGGTAAGCATAAACACAGATCAAATAAAGTTATGCAAGTAAATTCACTAGTCTAGCGCTGACTAAATAAAACATACTGAAACTATATTTATTTGACATTATTCACTTGTACCTCAAAACAAGGATTATAGTGATCATGTAGTGATATAAACAAGAACCAATAATTCTTAACACATATTTAACTAAACAAAGCAGGCAAGCACATAACACAAAAACATGAAACAAAAGGGAAAACCATAGATTCACAAATATCACTGAAAATTTCAAAACACCTCCTTCGATAATTGATAAAAGATGTACAAAGATCTGTAATGGAACAGTCAAAATCAGCAACAAGATGCCTTAGGTGGAGTACCACACTGTATGCAAAAATCACAAGAAATATTCACCCAAATAAATCATACTTATAGCAATAATACTGACCTTACCATAGCCAAAGAAATGGGAATCCTGCAGAGTGAACGCTCACATCTTATTGCAGTGAAACTAGAAAACAACAGCAGAAACATATGTACTTAGAATACAATTACTTTTCTCTCTCTCTTTATTCCTGCTGTCTTCTACTTCATACTTTATATATTAACTTTTTCATTTAAGGAAAACCATGTGATGTTTGAGCTTGTGTGTCTGATTTAGTTCACTTAACACTATGGTCTCAAGGCGCATCCATTTCCTACAAATGCCTCATTTATCTTTCTTTACAGCACAGTAGTATTCTAGAAATACCACATTTTCTTTATCTATTTACCTGTTGATAGACATAGAGGCTGTTTCCAAGACTTCGCTATTATGAATTGTGTTGCTATACACATAGGTATACATATATTGCTGTGGTATGATGATGATGTTTTTAACTCTTTTGAGAAAATATGTAAAAGGGGAATAGTTGGGTCAAATAGAAAAAAAATTCTATTTTTGGACTTTTCAGGAATCTCCACAATGATTTCTTTAGTGGTTGTATCAGTTTACACTTCCACCAACAATGAAGTGCTCCTTTCTCCCTACAGCCTTACCAGCATTCATTATTGGTTGATTTGTTGATGATAGCCAGTCTTTCCGGGGTGAGATGAAACCTTAATGTTGTTCTAATTTGCATTTCTTGAATGGCCGGCAATGCTGAACATTTTTTTCATGTATTTATGGCCAACTGTATTTGTTCATCTGAAAAGAGAAAGAAATAAAAGAGATTTGGATTTGGAAAATTCAAAAACTCCATCCACCAAAAGACTCCCAGAAGTAATAACTAATTCAGTAGTATAGCAACATATAAGGTCAACGCTCAAAAGTCAATAGCATTTTTGTAGTCAAATAACTGAGAGGGAAATTGGGGAAACAGTACCTTTCAAAATAGCATCAAGAAAAATGAAATACAGTAAAACCTTGGATTGCAAGTAACATTCCACAAGTGTTCCACAAGTGAACAAATATTTCTAATAAATTTTAATTTGATAAAGAAGTGATGTCTTGCAATAGTACTATGTGACACCAAATGTTGTGTGATCACAACTGAGTCAATGGTTCTCCCTCCCCCTCCCCTCCCCCTCCCTCTTGGATTGTGACCATCTCTCAACAACAAGAGGTTATGGAAGAGAGCTCTACATCTCAGTTCTTAATTCGCTTTTATGAAGACCCTAGGCAGTCTCCCATCTTTTTCCCACCTTCCAGAATCTTCTGACATTTGTCTGTTGTTATGTCCAGGCTTTTTTTATTTGTAAAAGAGAATACTACATAGAAATGGAGATACTTCATTTTTGGCAGAACTAGAAGACTCTACCTATACATATGAAAGAAATGGCTATTGGGCTGGAGATTTAGCTCAGTGGTTCCACCAACTGCCTCACAGGCACAAGGTCTCAAGTTCAATCCCCAGTACCAAAAGAAAAGGCTATTATTTTGACATATAGATATAATTTATATATACAGAGCTATTTTTATACATCATCACCTCTTCAAAATTATAAACAATATTGTAAAAAATACCTGACATTTATTTCAAAAAGATGGAAATGTTAGGAAACAATTGACAGTCACTTTAAAATTTGATATATTTATCAAATGCATGTCAGATTAATGCTAACAGTGAATGAGTATGCATATTTTTGCACATTTTTTATTATATATTATCAAATGTTTTAATTTTTGCCAATATGGTAAGTAGGGACTACTAATATAAGATCTACTGCTTCATATTGCTTTGAAAAGAATGTAAGGATTAAGCGACATCTTGCAGGTGGTACTGTAACATTATTCAAATATTTCTCTTTTCCAAAATTCTAAAAAATCTCCTGTCTTAGGCAGACATCCAATTTTAATCCTTGGAAAGTAAACATGTTATTTTACATGGCAAAAAGGAAATAGCATGAAGATGAAATTAAGGTTGCTAATAGCTAACCTTAAAATAGGATGATTAGTCTGGATTATCCAGGTGGGCTCAATATAATCACAGTGGTCAAAGCAGAAAATGGAAGTGAAAGTGGAGGTCAGAGTGATGTAATATGAGATATAGTTAACTTGCTGCTAGTGTCTTTGGAGAGAAAAGAGTCACGAGTCACTAGTGAGGGCAGCCTCTAAAGCTGGAAAAAGCAAAGAAATGGATTTTCCTATAGAATGTCCAGAATGGAGCACATCAATGCCAATGCCTTGACTTTAGCCCCGTGACATCCAGGCTAGACCTCTGACTTCCAGAATCATAAAATAATGAATTTGTATGGTTTTAAGCCACTAAATTTGAGATTTTTTTTATTGCAACAATAAAAAAAAACCTAAATAGAAGATAGGCAATACTTAATGGAAAAAAAAAATAGTCAAAATGGGATATAATTTGGGAAGCACTGTGGGTTGAGGGGATACTGAGGTACATGTGTATGTCTAGAATCATAACTGCCAGCAGAAAGTAGGATGATTCTGGAAGTGGAAAGAATCAGGAATTTAACTCTTTAGCTGAAAAAAATTTTTTAATCTAACTACATTTTAGTAAAACGAGGTTAACTAGAATATGAGGCACCTATTCTCTCTGGCCCTAAGTCTCATGCTAAGAGACCATCACAGCTACAGTACTCCAAAACTCTTGTTACATGCTTAATTTTACCATGTAAGAGCAACAATTTTGTTTTCTTGAGAACAGGGTCTCACTGTGCAGTCCAGGCTAGTCTTGAGCTTACTATGCAGTCCGTGCTGGCCTCAAATTTGTGGCAATCCTCCTGCCTCAGCTTCCCAAGTGCTGGGAGTACAGGTGGGCATCACCACACCGGCAAGAGTAATTAATGTTCTTTCAGTAGTGAAATGCAACATGAGCATGGCAGAAAAGTTACTAGTTGGAATTCAGGAAACAAAGTACTATAAAAAAGACTGGCAATCTGTTACTAGACTCCAGGAAAATCTCAGCAAATTGAGACTAAATGTGTAATTCAAAATACAGAGAAAAAGAAGACACCCCATGTCTTACCTTTTGAATAGAAATTAAAGCTGAGAAGTCAAACTACTTTCCTCTTCACAAAGATCCACCTGCTAGAGTAAAGAGCTGAGTAGACTTTCTATTTTAAGTATTTGAAGTAGTAGAAGCCTTTTGCAGTTGCTGCTTTGTCTTTGTGAAAGGCAGCAATGTAAGCTACTACAAAAATAATGGGAAGAAGAGAAGGAAGAGGCATTTATATGGGAAAACCAAAAGGCAAGACATAAAGTTAAAACTAATTTACAAATATTTTTTAAACCACTTCAATGTGTAAATACAACACACATCTACACACAGTATATACATACCTACATACGTACACAAATGGCAGATAGTACTTTCAAAGTTATCTTCCACCCCGTATTCACTTATGATAAGTGAACTTGCTATTCTGCCATCAAAAGATGGAGTTTTAATTCTCTCCCCCCTTGAATTGGACTTAACTGGTCTTTTTGTGGTTTGCTTGTAACTAATAGAACACAGCAAAAATAAGGTTATTTGGGTGTCTAGGTAAAAGTTTAAAATGATTAAAAGAGGCTTTTACTTGGTTTACGTGGAATTCAGTCTCCAGATACCTCTGCCCAGAATGCCCCCTCTGGCAACCTCCACTATGCTACAAGGAGTCTAAGTCACAGAGAAAGGCCGTAAGTAGGTGCCACAATAGATGTTACAGTTTAAGAACTAAATATATGCACAAAAGAGTCTCACAATAATTCTAGCTCATGGCCATCAGAATATTCCTACTTGCTGAGTTGGAAATGTGGGGATCTGAGTAGAAATACAAGACATAACTAAGTCAATGGGGAAAATAAACAGGTGATAGCAAGACATTTCTAAGACACATTACGTAAGACCTTGGTGAACTCTGGCAGGGGTGGCTGAGAGATGAATGAGGAGTAGGGCAGATCAAGTTTGACTTTAGACGTGGAATGTGAAGTATCTAAGCTAGAGCACTGAAAAATGCGGATTAATGGACAGACCAAAGAAAATCACCAATGAAAATGAGAAAAAAAAAATGCAAGCTAGCAAACAATAGAAGCTCAATGGTTTTATGTTGGACAGGTTTCGTTGTTTTTGTTTGCTTTTAAAGCAGGGAAGTGAATCAGCAAAGAGAAACTGAAAGAATGGGTAGGAAAGGGCCGGGGGTTTAGCTCAGTGGTTCAGGCACCTGCTTCACAAGCGCAAGGACCCGAGTTCGATCCCTGGTACCAAAAAAAAAAAAAAAAAAAAAAAAGAATGGGTAGGAAAGACGCTGAATGAGGAAATTCATTATTTTTAAAGGGTTTATAAGAGAGGGAAAGAAGAATTTAGCATATACCTATTACTTTGAATCCCTCTTCTATATGTTGTTATATATAGGAAGGGACACAGACAACGAACAAAATCTAAGATCACGTGAACAGCACAGCTGTAGAAACGAACAGTAAACACGATTACCACTTTGGGATCCCCGACTGTTAGGCAGACACTAGACTAAACACTTTATATATTCTTACAACTGTGTGAAATATGAATTAAGTCCATCACACAAATAGGAGACTGATGCATGTGAGATTCAGATATAGTATAGATAAGGAATCACATTTAGTCCAGTGATTAGAGAAGCATCGTACTGCAATTCAAACGCAGGCTTTGTAATCAGCCAGCCTTGAGATAAAAAACAGGCTCTGAACTCTGGGAGACCGAAGCAGTTGGCTGGGAAGCTCAAGCCCAATCTGGACAATTCAGCGAGAAACTGTCTCAAGGGAGGGGCGGGGGTGAGGGTTAAATCTACATAATCTAGTGGTACAGTGTCCCTGGTTCGACCCCTAGTACTGCAAAACAAACAAACACAACAAAAAGACTCTTTTATCGTTACCTCCTCTCCTGTCCCACACTTCCTTTTCAATTCTCGCTCTCATCTTTGAACTCCCAACTCCACCTGGGAGAGGAAGCTCCGGGTCTCTAGCGCTAGGCGCACGTTATCCTAGCTGCAAACATGAATAATCTCCAGCTGGCTGGACACCTACCCAACAGACCAGCACAGTCTCCTGAATCTCAGCAGGCAACCTCCCTGCCTGACCAGAAAGTCGTAGACCTTTGTTCAGCTAACTTGAGCCCGGTCCTCTGCTGAGCTGCCTCTCCCAGGCAAAAGCAATCGACTCCTTGCAACACTCTCTTGGGTCCACCCAGAAGCTGCGGCGCAGCACTTTGGTTCCGGAACGCCGGTTTGAGAATGGGTTTTAAAGATTTGAATCCCTTCTACATAGCAACCAGTACCTCCTCATCAAAATGATGTGTGAACCAGAGCCGCCCATGTTCTAGGTCTTGACTGTTATCTTCTGAGAACACACCCTGACCCATATTGATAAAGTCAACTGGTGGCGCGTGCCTGTAATTCTGCATTCTGAAGGCAGAGCCAGGAAGATTCTGAGTTCAAGTTCAGCCTGGGCTACACAGACCTTGGTCAAAACACAGTATGACACAATACAAAACACAGTTTTGAAGCTAATATCCTAGCCTTTGCGCCTACTTGTGGGATGGGAAATTTGAAAAGTAGTTTTAATGCTACAAGTTTAGGCTGAACAGTAATTGGCATACTGTCCGTGCTGTCATTAAATAGTTAATGCAAATGCTTATAATGAGAGACAGCCTGTGACCTTCCAAAGTAATTTATAAATGTTTACTGTCCCCTAATTTAACCACTAAACAGCCTTACTTTTTGCATCATTAGAAGATGAAAAGATATAACTCCTCCCTTAAAGATGCTGGCAACTAGCAAGCACACAAAGGAAGTACTTAGGTTAGGGGACAACCACTACATGTGCCATTTGTCAGAGTAAGTCTCACTTAGCAAGTTCTATCTGAAGTGACACAGTCAGAGTGCAGGGAACATAGAGTAACATCACTTGTGTTTTAACCCTGAATTTTTTCCATCTGTCCCTGCCTCTCTGCTACCACTGAAATATTGGTGATCTAAACCCCTATCTTTCTACCTACATGAGTAGCTTTCCTATGGGGCACCAGAGGAGAAACTTCTGGATTTTATATTATACTAGTCACTAGAAAGACAAATACAGAGAGATGGGGGGAGGGCAAAGAAAGAGAGGAGAGAGAGAAGCAAAGAGAGAAGAGAGAGAAAAAGAGAGAGAGTCTTCGCTGTGAGTCTCTAATCTATCTTTGACACTGCTAAAAATTACCTACCTACCTATACCTGAGAGGTATAAATGATGATGGGATTGATGAATGAATGGTGATCCTGCCTTGCCTTCAGTATTCACCCTTATTTCCTTAGGCAGTTAATCTAAGACCCTTTGTAATCTGGCTTTGATCTGTTTTCCTGCTCTGTCATGTAGTCACTTCGTACTCCAAACTTGAGAGCATCCCTTGAGCGTTCCTTGTATTTCCTACGATTTCAAAGTGTGGCTCCAGGGAAGTAAGATTCACGAAGCCTCTTCTACTCTTTGGGCAAAGTCGATTACTCTTTTCTCCAACCCTTTAACTTCTGTGTTATATATCACAAAGCACTTGTCATACTCCATTATTACCTTTAATGTGTAAATCAGTGCCTTGAAAGGAATATAAGCAACATGAAAACAGGAGAGAATCCTGTTTGAATCCCTGGTGTCTACAAAAGTTCCTAACCTTTGGCCATTAATCGATAAACATTCATTGGATGATGACAAAAATAACTTTGATAAAATTCTTCTATGCCGGTGCCCTGATCAAGCTGTGAAGCAGTTTTGATGTGTTTTTGGCTTGTTTAAAAGAAGTTTCTTCAGTCTTTAGGAGATAAAGCCGTTATAGTGATCTCAAGAAAGTTAACAGGTTTTAAAGATTCTGGTTCTTTTTTTGCTCACCAGAGGAGTCTGTACTAAACCAAATATGGACTGTTAATATGTTTTGAGTGATGTACTTGGAGCAGGGGAACTTTCCAGAGCACAAATACAGGTAATCCTTGTGAAAAGTTTTAGAGCACATTCTGGAGTTTTAGAATAGGATTTGCTCGAAACAAACCTCTCTGTAACTGGCTTGGAACTTTATTTCTGTTGCTGCCCTGTGCCACATCTCTGTATTACATCTACTGGTTTCTTAGGTAGAAGTGACACATAAGATCATCTGAACAAGGCCTTAGGAGAGATACTTACATGAGGTAAGTCCTGTCATGCTTCTGCTCAAAACCCTCCAATATCTCACCCGGGTTTCTACCGTGAGCTAATTTTTTGGCAGAGGAGATGACAAGGATTCCTGTAATTAGTGCCATAATTATTACCAAGTAATGCTGTGAACCAAGCAACAGTCTCCCATTTGAAATGCAACAATATTAAAAACAGAAGAGCCCTGCCCATGTAGACATTGAATTCTCACAGATATAAACACTAAGGATAAATAGGTAAATTATATGTTAGAAAGTGATGTATATGGGCAAAAAAAAAAAAAAAAGTACTGGTATTTAAGAGTGTAGTGGCAGGGGACATCGGTTATGCTCAAGGTAGGCCTTACTGAGATGATATCTGAACAGAAAGTGAGGGAGTTAGCCATGTGCACATATGGGGCTTCAGCAAGAAAGTACGGTTTGCGCAAAGTCCGAGGGGAGGGAATGTGACTAGAGGAACAAAGGAGGCAAGTGGGATTGAAGACAAGTGAACCTGGGGGAGAGTAACAGGAGAGAAGTGAAAAGTAAAGAAAGGAGGAGAGACCTATCAAAAGGTAGGCCTTACTGAGATGATATCTGAACAGAAAGTGAGGGAGTTAGCCATGTGCACATATGGGGCTTCAGCAAGAAAGTACGGTTTGCGCAAAGTCCGAGGGGAGGGAATGTGACTAGAGGAACAAAGGAGGCAAGTGGGATTGAAGACAAGTGAACCTGGGGGAGAGTAACAGGAGAGAAGTGAAAAGTAAAGAAAGGAGGAGAGACCTATCAAAGGTCTTCTTGGCTACTTTATGGCCTTTGGCTTTCCTCTGAAGGGAATGGTGAGACAATGCCTATAGAATACGATACCTATCATCTATAAGCAGAGTATTTCTCTTGTACTAGTCAATAAAATTAATGAATAAGCACTAAAGCTGAAGTTCTCTGCATATTATTGGCTTTTGAGAAGAGTTTGAGGGAGTGGGTCATGAAGGTATTGGTTATGAGCAAGACAAGATATGAAGACAGGAGACAAGGTCCATCAAAACCTCTACACAGGAAAATGGCCAAGTGAGAAGAGAGTGGGACGCCCATGAGGGGTGCTACGCATAACGGACTATGTGGGGAAGAATAATTGAGAATGGCGTGTCTTGAGTGGACTGTTGTGTGGTACAGTATAGATTTTTGTCTCATCTTTCTTCCCTATGAAATACTCAGTAAGGTTTACATTGGCTACTAATAGTTTGTGTTAGAGGTTGTTTTGTTTTGTTTCATTTTTGTTTTTGTTTTTTTTTTTTTTAGGGCAGGAAGTACAAATATGTTAAGCTCCATAGCATAGCCAACAGCATAACATAAGCCAATCAACTGCACTACAAATTGAAATACTCCCACAAACTCTCAAAGGCGTGAGATATCAAGGTTTTGGTCTGACACATTAATTGCTTTCCACCACATAAGGTCAGCTCAGAATCGATTGTCTTTCTGTTGTGTAGAGAGAGCAGCAGGAGAAAGAGAACAGGACAGTTAAAAGAAACATTCCTTGCCCTTAAGGCTTAGTCTTATCTTGCTCTAAGGCCACCCCTATTAAATTTCTAAGATCCCACCTTCCACTGGGGGATCTCCACATAGAGAAATTGAAGCCTAGAGGTAGCAATAATTTGGCTACATCTAGGTAAACTCCCAAGTTCCCAACTGCCTTGCTGTTTAGGCCTTGGGGTATGAAACGATGAGCTAAGTGTTAGCTCTACTTTTTACACCCCAATGAAATACCCAGTCATAACATGATACCACTTAGAAAATTGACCAGTAGGGTTGGACCAAGCTTTTCTTATCTATATCTTTTTTCTGTAGATTGCCTGGGATAGTTCAGCTGCAACAAAATCCCAATGTACTTCGATTACGGTTATATCTAGATGTCCCCTCCAAAGCCTCATACATTCATAGGTAGGACTTTGGGCAGGTGATAGATCATGGAAGTGTAATTCTAATCGGTCGATTAGTCCACTGATGAGTTAGTTTATATCTGGGAAGAGGTGGGTCACTGGGGGTGTGGCCTAGAAGTGTGTAGCTCCCTCCTTCCTCCGTCTCTCTCTACTTCCTCCTGCCATGCCCCTCTGCCATGTTGCCCTGCCTTGCAGACAACCAACCATCAACTCAAATCTCTAGAAACTGAGAGGCAAACCTTTCCTCCCTATAGTTCTGCATGTTGGGTATTGTAACTCAGTGATGAGAACGTAACTAAGACAATTTCCAAACATTTAGATTCCATAAGAGAATCTTGGCTGTAAATAAGTCAGTACTTTCTCTGATATCTTTTCCTTATTTGTAGACTAGAAATCAGGATCCCGACTCTCTCACAGAGGGCACTTAAGACATAAATAAATCAAATAACCTGTTTGTTGGACAATATACAAAAAGTATTTTACAGATTATTTGAGATATAGAGGATGCACCTAATCTGAAGCCAGGAAACCACTAATAGACAAAGCTAAAATTGTGTCCTAAAAGGAAAGATGTTGATATTAATATATAACCCACTTAAATCATTTCTGTAAACATTTATAAATTTTTCAACATGGAATGTAATTTAATATTTTACAAGTTTTTGCAAGTATTGACAATAGAATAGACAGGCACGTGCCACCAAGTAAAATTGTAGTCAATAACAGGTTGAACATATATGACAGTGGTCCCAAAACTTATAATGAAGCTGAAAATCACAATGTCCTAGCGCAACACACTATTTATATACTTGTGGTGATGCTGGTGTAAACTTATCGTACTACCAGTCAATAAAAGAATAGTGCATGATTATGTATAGAACCTAATACTTGATAATGACTTGTTAATGCTTTATTTACCATACTATACTTTTGATCATTATCTGAGTGTATTCTTTCCACTTACATACTATACAGCAGTATGTTGTGATAAATTGGCACTAGCCTCATAATCTCATTTACTGTATCTCTTATTGAATCATTGTCTCTTGCACTTGATTTTAATCTCACCGTGTT